ACCCACACCAGCCCCGGCCCTGGAAAACCTTACTACAGGGGCTGCAATGGGGAGCTACAATTGGTCAGCTGACCAATGAGAATTTCTTCTTTCTTGCTTTGGGATGCTGTTCCTGGAGACGGAACGCATTAGAACGCATTGGCTACATCACTGCGCTGACGAATGACTGTTCTCCACCGCAAGCCTTGTGTTGCTTTACATCCTGCAGCGGGGACGGGGAAAGGGTTTGGTTGAGAAAGTTTGTTGTGCGTTAGTTCGGCGCCTTTTAATTTTTTGCGATCTAGCCCTTTAAATGTTCCCCCCCCCCGCTACAATGCAACCACAGAAACATTTGGAGGGAGCAGAGTCACAAGGAGCCAGCAGGGGGCAGCAGATACTCTCGGGGGGCATGTTGCGAGTTAGTTCCCCTTAAATTTCTTGTGAAAAAGGTGAACTGGCCCTTTAACCGCATCAAAGCATCAGCCACGCGAGGAACGCACTGAGACCAATGAACGGGGCCACTCATAGACCTATCTGGCGAGAAGGAGCAGTAAAGCGCAACCACTGTGCAGCACCCCGAGGCAGGAAGCGGAATCTGCACATGGAATGAGAATGTATTCCTCCCCTCCCCCCCCCATGTATGAACAGAGCTAAGAATAGAAAAGGATTTCCAGCAAATATCAAAAAAACATTCCATCGGGATGATCCGCTATTCACGTTCTTGTATCAAAAATAAACATTCCTTCCGGATCCTTCCAATCCTCAGATCCGCCTACATGAGAGTCCTCCATACATAGCGCGGGATTTTCCCCACGGCTTCCGGGAAACCCGATGATGTCGCAATTCTGCTGTCATGATGGATTTTCCCACACATGCTCCGCTGAGACGTACGAGCACCTCCGCCGCGGTGAGACTTGTAGTTCTTCTCATTGCTCTAGATCTGCGAATGGATGACTCCTCCCCCCCAACACACACCATAGCTTTCCCCCTCTAAATATGGTGGATTTAAGGTGGAGCGTGGTGCTACGTTCCCCCCTCTAAATATGGTGGCTTTAAGGTGGAGCGTGGTGCTACGTTCCCCCCTTTAAATATGGTGGATTTAAGGTGGAGCGTGGTGCTACGTTCCCCCTCTAAATATGGTGGATTTAAGGTGGAGCGTGGTGCTACGTCCCCCCTCTAAATATGGTGGATTTAAGGTGGAGCGTGGTGCTATGCTTGAACTTAAATCTGGGTGGAACACGGCGGGTAAGTTGGACTTCCTGTGCGGCCGCCATACGTTCCAACAATGGAAAATTCTTTCTGTCACCGTTTCCAAATCCATTTTCCATGCCTCCTTATTTAGATTTCCAGCTACACCTTCCCCTTCCTACGAGGAACGCTCTGCTTATCACATATACATCACGTGCAGGAAGGACCTCCAGGGGCCCGGCTCTGTCTGCGTCAATGACAATGTGCGGCTCCTAAACACTGAAATATAAAGTGTATCCGAATCCAAACATGTAACACACGGGGCCTTAGAGGTGGCAGAAGCTTTTGTTTTCTTCACCAGGCAATCCTGCCAGTGGCACACTTCCTGTCCTAGGTGACAACGCTCGCTGAACTGCAGCTATGGGAGGAGCAGCGTTGTCACCCTAGGCTGCTTTCCTCCTGATTGGAACTATAAACACCTCACACTTACAGGCAGTGTTTTGAAGTTCAGGAAAGACCAAATCACACTGTTTGAGATTTCAATTTGGTGCTGGGGAGGTTACAAGGACGCTGTATGCATCAGCGGTGGGCAACCTTGGCACCCCGGCTGTTTTGGAACTACAAGTCCCATGAGGCATTGCAAGACGACAGCCATAGGTATGTATATATATTTTAATCAAAACAAATATTCCTGAATTTATCGAACACCATCGAGCCAGTATGCAATAAATGGGCATAAACCGTAAAAATAACAAACGACGTTATGAACATAACTCAGAAACATCTGAATAATCTGCTTCTCTGACATCCATGGTAAACAAGGAGAAACCAGCAACAGGCACTGTGGAGGGTAGCTGGACCTCCAGCTTAAAAGACTACATCTCCCAGCAAGCCCCGGCAGCCTTTGACATACAGGGCATTCTGGGACTGTCACTGGCGGTGCCTGAGCTTTATATAGCTCTAATGTCACAAATTTCAAGCACATTTGAAAGCAGTGAAGGTTGCCCCCCGACAAGCCCCCTGTCAACAAGCGATTACCACAATGCCAAAGTGACTTCTACCCGGTTGATAAAAGTGTGAAACAAGCTATCAGAGGTCAAACCCGTCACGTGACCCCGGGACCGCCGCAGCGCCCACTCTGTGGTAACACTCACCGAGCTCCGATCCCCCTCTCTACCTCCGCTCAGTTTCCCTCTTCAGCCAACTTCCGGGTTCTCCTCTGGATCGCGGAGCTCGCTTCCGCCGCACGTGACAGGAAAAGCCCTGACGCAGGGCGTGTCCACTCTGACCATCTGGCAGCGCCATTTGAAGTGCTGGCAAGGTGCCAGTTTCGCCTGGGCGGGGTGGCGTCTGCAGAGGGAGTGCATATGATTGAATATGTATCTGATTGTATTTATAAGACAGTCCAGCCCGGGATATTATTAAAACCCAACTCTACTTTTGCTAGACACCCCTTTTTGCTGATTTTAACCCTTTTGCTGCTGGACAGTTTTAAGCTACATAATGAAATTTGGTCAAACTAATTAAACATAACATTTGGCTTGAAATGTACTTATGGGCATTTTTTTCTTTTAATTAGAGTAAGGCGAAATGAAAAACCCAGTGAGGTTTTTTTTTGTTTTTTGCTGTCTTTGTACCATTGGGTACATTTTCCCTTCACTTTCTGTACCAGGGCTGTGTTTTCAATCGAATTAAATAGAAATGTGCAGTGATATGCGTAGTCACACATAAAAAAAAAAAAGCTTTACAGTGCGTTTGTATTGAATGTCAACATGCATCATAAAGCGCATTAATGCATGGCATTGTGTGTTTACGTGTGTCATGATGTGCACTGCTGCTGGTCTTCCATTGATTGCCCCACTGAATGGGTTATTTTATACACTTCCTGGAGTTCCTCTTAAAAAAAAATGTCAATGTATGCCAACTCAAGTGTGTTTAAATTGTGTCAACACTCAAAGTCCAAGTCTCTGGTGAGCAGGCGAGGATTACGAAAAGATACATTGCAACAATGTATCCATGAATGAAGTTAAAGTGACACCAAACTCAGAAGAAAAGTGATTCAAGTACGTTAGTTCAGTGGCATCACAAGAGGGGG